AATTCAGGTGGGATATACTCAAGGTCATAGTTTTGCTCTTGTGGACTTGTCTTAATTTTCTTCAGTTTTAACTTAAACTTGCATATGAGTAGTTGATGGTCTGTTCCACAGATGGCCCCTGGCCTTTTTGTGACTGATGGTAGTAAGCTTCTCCATAGAAGTAGTTGATTTGATACCTGTGTATTCTATCTGGGGAGGTTCCAGTGATAGTCACCATTTATTTTGTTGAAAACAGGCATTTGCCATGAATAATTTGGTCTTGCAACATTCTATCATGTGATTTCTCGCATCATTTCATTTGCCAAGACCATACTTTCCAACTACTGATGCTTCTTTGTTTCCAACTTTTGAGTTCAAATTACCAGTAATTGTCAATAATCTTGATTGCATTTTTAGTCAGTTTTAGACTGCAGAAGTTGGTAAAAATCTTCATTTTCTTCATTTCTAGGTCCAGGGAGCATATTTTGTTTTCCTTCCTTTTTTTTTTTTTTTTTTAGCAAAATATGGATTTGTTAGTTATTTATTCTATCAAACTTGTAGTGTGAACTTAACTGTAAACTACTTCTGATTATGACAAAGACTTCACTAGACATTTGTTTATAACTCCTTATTAAAAAGAGACACAATGTGAAAAGATGAAGTTTCTTATTTAAAAAAAAAAACTAACTAAAATGGAAATAATGAGAATGAATGACACGAACTGAATGTAACCAATGTTATCAAGCATTATGTATATAAATTGTTGAATAAAAACCTGTTTTGCTCTGTATCAAAAATACATTTTTTTTTTTTAAAAAAAGAAACATTTAGAAAAGATGAAGAATGCAGTAGGTAAGTAAAGTCATATATGCTGTGTATGTTTTAACCTTTATAAATTCACAATGAAAAGGAAAGCTTCTAAAGTTAATGTATGCAATTTGTTCCCAATTTTAATTTTTATTTCCTTATAATTTGGCATGATTAGAAGATTGAAAGCTTATTCTTTCTGACAGTAGTGCAGCTCTTAAAAAAAAAAAAAAATTAAGTGCTGTACAGCCTGGATTTATCCAGACTGTGGTCAGGCTATTGTTAGAAATGTAATGGTCATAACAGGGGGTTCTTGTTAGGGGTCATGGAGTCAAGTTCGATTTTTATTGATCACAAGTGATGGAGTCGATCTGCCCCCATATACTTTTCTTGGCTGTATTCTTTGCAGAAGCAGATCTCCAGGTCTTTCTCCTACAGAGAGACTGGTGGGTTCACAATACCAACTGTTCACCTAGCAGCCAAATGCTTACCTGTTTGCAACACCAGGTCTCCTTTATCATGGAGTAGGCACTCAATAAATGGTGCTATTAAGAAAAAAAGTAATTTTTTAAAAATAGTAAACAAGAGGGGAATGAACAAAGAAAGGAAATTAGTTAGTTGTACAAAATGGTTAAAAAAAAAAAAGTTCGAATGTTTGTAAATATTTGACTTCCATTGTAATTTTTCTTCATTTGGTTTTAAATTCTGTTGGCAATTATAAATTGTTTCATCTCTAATCTGTCCTGTGTTGTTACCGTACCTTGCATTTTCAGTTATCCTCAAAGTTGTTGAAAATGTTCATATGGTTTGATTAATGTTGGTTATGTAGTTTTTTCTTATCCAATGCAGAAATGTAGATAAGAATAAGATAGTCTGTTCAAGGTGAAGTAGAATGATTTGATAATGGAATGCTGTCTATCATTGCAGGATGAGTCTGCTCCAGCTGACAAACAATGCAAGCCAGAGGCAGCCCAGACCACTTACTCAACATCAGCTGTTTCAGGCTCACAGGAAGTGCTGTACATCAATGGAAACGGGACCTACAGTTACCATAGTTACAGAGGGCTAGGCGGGGGACTGCTAAATCTGAATGATGCTGCCAGTAGTGGTAAGTCTTTATATAGATTCTGTCTTTGTGTCCATTCTGTGGTGGTAAATTTTCTAAGCCTAAAAGAAGAAAACAGATTATATTGTTACAAGCAATCATCAATACCAGTCTGCTAAAAACAAGACAATTTAACACATAATGATTCTCTACGTCCATGGCTATCTCTCTGTTTTGTTGCTGTTTTTGAAAGTAGCGGCATTATTATGCAACTGAAGGATTGGTATTTTATGTTCAAAAAGTTCTCAACTAAAGTCATAGCAATTTTTTTTTTTCCAAATAGTGACACATTCTGCCCTCCAAGCTGTTATTTACTATTCATCAAAAATAATGACACATTTTTTCCAATGTGTAAAGAGGCTTTGAAGTGGAAATGTTGAGGCCACAGAAACTTTACTGACTTGATGAAACATCTACACACATCATAACTAAAACCATACAATATGAAACAGCACATGGAATCATCCCAAAGACTCTCCAACCACCAATAGCTTATCTCTGACAATGGCATGCTTTTTTAGCAGTGAGTGAGATTCTGCAGCCAGGAGGAATTTCAAATGAGCTAGAGGTTTAAATGTGAAAAATAGAACCATACATATATTTGGAGGGGAAAAAATGGGTTAGTTCCTTATACTGGATGGCGGAGAAAGCTTTTCTAAGTATATGTGAAATCCAGACATAATAACAGGAAAAATGATTAATTTAATCATGTACATACAGCTTTACATAAATAAAGAAAGAAAGAAAAGGAAAGTAAAACGGGAAAAATTGTTAGCAACTTCGATTATAAGTACAATACATGAAGGGCTTCTAAAAAGAGATAAAACTTAACCAAAAACTATATTTAAAAAGTAGAATGAAAATATGAACATGCAATTTCCAGAAAAGGCAATGAAAATGCCCTTCAAATATATGAAAAGTTGATCAACTTCACTCATTCCTAGTAAGAGAAATGAGTTGCCAGCATATCAAATTAGCAAAAATTCAAACATATGACAGAATAACTTTTTGACAAGCCTGTGGGGAAACAAGAACTCTCACATATTTGTTGTAGAAATTTAAGGAGGTTCAATTCCTTTAGAAGGAATTTGAAAAATATATAGTTTTTAAATTAAATATGCATTTCCTCTTTAACCCAGAAATTTCTTGACTAGGAATCTGTCTCAAAGAAATGCTGGCAAAAATACAAAAACATATATGCACAAGGCTATTTATTGGAGTGTTACTTAGGAATGTTCAAAAGAATTAACAATGATAATGTTCATGAATAGAGGACTAACTGAATTTATAGTGCATCCAAACAGTAGAGTAGTATGTAGCCTTAAAAAGTAATATTTTTTATATACTATTAAAGTACAAATATATGTATGTTGTTGTTGTTAGGTGCTATCAAGTTGATTCTAACTCATAGAGACCCCATTTGATAAAGTAAAACTGTCCCATAGGGTTCTTCCTGTAGAGGCACTGCACGGTTGTATCATTTCACCATAGTTATTCGGTTAGCAACTGTAGAAGTTAAGGTTGTGCATCAATTTGGCTCAGCAATTGGATATAGTTATTCCCCATGATGAGACTGAATCTCACCTTTATGGTGGAATCTACTGTGAGCAGCTAAATAGTCGAAGGGTTGTTGCCTTTAGGGTGTGAACCTGTTTCCAGCATATATGGAGAAGCTTTGGGAAAAGTCTCTAGCTTTTTGCTCATTTTGGGATCCTGCAATTTGCCAGTCATCATCTCCAGTTCCTGGACTTGAACCAGGGACCAGCCATGTTGCCAGTAATCTTGGGATTTTTGCCTTTGCAGCCAGTGACTCAACAAGGATTCCTCAGCCTCAGCAGCCTGCTATATTGCCTGGCAATCTTGAGTTTGCCAGCCCTTGAAGTTGCATGAGTCAAGAGAAGCTTCCAGCTGGCCCCAGGGGGCCTGGAAGGCAAAGCTGAACCACAAGGTGGAGGGGCCTCCACCCAGAATCCAAAGAGAGAAAATGTTCCCCTAGACCCATCACTCTGAATTTGGACTTCCTAGTCTTCTAAACTGGTGGCATAGTGCCTAAGCCATTTGACTGCTAACCAGAAGGCTAGCAGTTCAAGCCCACCAACCACTTCTCTGAAGGAAGACAAGGCAATCTACTTCCATAGATATACTGCCTTGGAATCCCAAGTAGAGGTTGCTATGAGTCAGAATCGACTCGACAGCAGTGAGTTTGGTTTTGGTTTGAGTCTTCTAAACTGTAAGAGAATAAATATCTGTTAAGGCTATCCACTTGTGGTGTTTTCTGTTATAGCAGCACTAGAGAACTAAG